GCTTCACCCGTTTGTGCACAGATATTTGAAGGAGAGTTTTGGAAAGATTTTTGACTGTGGAGAAAGAAGATTTCAGAGCTGAGATAGATACTGTTGTATTATTGCACAGATTTCAGGAAGGCACTGTACCTTTAAGAGAGCTGGATGATATTAGAATATGTGGTGTTCTAGTATAAAGTCTCTAACTTATTCTCTGTAGAACTCTTCTCAGTTGTTTAGCAAGCAGCCAGTATGCTAATCAGTCTGTTAACCACCTATCAACTATTTATGTAGTATAGCATCTAAGCATATAACTCAGACTATGTGTATGCGTGTGTGGTGATGTAAATCTGAGACATCATATTACTGTACATAGTTAATTGTTAATAAGTTTATAATTGTGAATCAGTATGAACACTGTGATACATGCCACATGTGCTAATATGTTAAAAATACAAGTACATCAGATACTATTTTTATTATTACCTGCACATACACATTCCAGCAGGGATCATCAGGAGTAAGAATTTTAATTAAACCTGCAGGCATTGGCATTAATTGTAGTACTCCAAGTTCAAGCTCCAGTTAAACCCAGTAGCTGTACTTAAGAACCTATGCTCTGAATTATTATATTATACCAATCGATGTTTTAACATTTTAATAGTTTTGATCAGCTCTTTTTAAATCAGCCAACATTGCTGGCCATTTTAAAACTTAGAAGTCGTCAGAATTGTTGAAAATGCTACATTTTTAGGTCTGTATAGTTTAAGAACCTCATATCTGTTGTGCATTAATGGACATGGGAAATGATTTTGTGGCATGGCAAAATTTTTGAACTGTTTATACAGTGTACAATTTTTCGATTGGTTCAAATCACCTCACCTCCCAATTAGCACTTATCTGTAAAATTATTTGAACAGTTATTAAAATATAGACAATGGACAACCATCAATACCAACTAGTCAATTTGGTGACATTATTTTGTTCAGTTCTTCACTGACTTTGTTTTGTTTGCTTGTTCTCAATGCAAAATAATATTCCTTAAAAACAAAATTTATAACATCATAAAGACAACATGTTTTAACAGTTGTGAGGAAGTGTATCTCAAATCAATGGCTTCACTGGTACATAAATACAGTCATTGACTCATTGGGTTGAATAGCTGCTTTTGTGCCATATGTTCTTATAGTCAAATAAAGTGACCCATCTTATCCTTAAGTAATATGAAAAAAATGCATTTATTTCACCTTTACGTTATTTTTTAATAGAAAACTCTTCAGTTGAACTTTGTTATGAAGTTATTGAAGGACACAAAACAAAATGCTGTTATCCATATTGCAATAGTTTACAAACCCCAATCTGAAGTATTTTTATTTTTCATATACAAGTTGAAATGCAAAGGTAGCTAAGCATATACTTTGGCTCCTGCAGAAACATTTTCTATCTCTGCCCCAACTCCACACTAAATAACTAGGAACATGAGTGCTACCTAAGTGCCCTGAAAATTGTTTGGTGTAAAATAAGTTGCCTATGCTTATGCAGCACGCCCACGCAAAAGCAAAGTAAAATCTCATTACAAAAAGCAAAATACTGTAGATGCTAGTAATCTAAAGGAAAAGCATATCCTGATTATCTACCAACAAGGTTTGCATAAGCCCTCGAGGATAACGTACAAACAGAAAACTCTTTGAATCATTCCCTTGTCTCTTTTCTCTGTCAGTGCTGTGGGTACATTTGCTCGAGCTCTGGATTGTAGCAGTTCTGTCAGACAACCGAGTTTACACATGAGTGCTGCAGCTGCTTCAAGGGACATTACCCTGGTAAGTTCAATGCAGTTTTCCTAGACTCTGGCCAAGGATTTTCAGATAATTATATATAGAAAAATAGCAGTTCACAATAGTGATAATTCAATATGAGTGGCAGCATCATCACTTCACATTCCATGTATGTACATGTCCTTGACACACAGCATTGTGCATATCACTATGGGAAACAACTGGAGTGCCTCAAATGCTATAAACATTTCAAGTATTGAAATAATAAGACGAGTTCATAAATGTTTGCCTATGGCATGTGTTCAAAAAAAGAAATCCAGAGCAGGGCTGTGTAATTTTATGTTCAGAATGAGGTTAATTGGAGTAAAATGGAGAAAGTTTTCACAAGAAGTGGAAATCCAGGACTGTCTTCCTCAATTTAATGTGAATGCTGGAACCAGTTGAGATTTTCAAATTGGAATTAGATGGATTTTTGTCTTCGAAGTGTATCCAAAGATCTAGGGAAAGAATGGTAAATAGAATTGAGATACAAAGCAACCGTAACAGGCTTTTGGCAGGGTGGGTGTTTGAACAGCCTACTCTTGTTGTTATGTTCATTCAGTTACCATATTTAAATGGTGTTACTTAATACCTGCTGGTTGAGATTAGAGCAAATGTGCCTGCCAGAGGTGATGATTTGTGGGTTCACTGTAGTTTGCCACTGCTTTTAGATTTTTTTTTACCCCTGATCTGTGTAAGCGTTAGTTAATTACTTGCATACTGATCAGTCATAAAGCATAGAACAATACAGCACAGGAACAGGCCCTTTAGTTCACCATTTCTGTGCTGACCATGATGCTATTCTAAATTAACCCTGTCTACTTGCACATGGTGCGTATACCTCTCTTCTCTCATGGGAGGTTTTTTTTGCTGGTTTTCATGTATCCCTATGGTGTAACTGTACTGGTTAGAGGGTTTGATGCTTATTTTGGCTAATATTTGAGGGAGGTATGGGTCATCTTTGCACTCAGTTGGGCTTGGTAGGAGAGACATCAATATTTCTTTCCTCAGCTGATGTGTTACTTTTGTTACAAGAGGTACATTTGTTATTTCAGTAAGTCTTGTGATTATTTAAACCTCAGGAAATGTTAAATCTGCAAAGGTTAAGAGGCACTACTTTGTGATATTGTCATCTCTTTGATCTACTTGTTAAATGCCTAAGGTATTTAAATTTGTGGAAATAGGATGGAGAAAGAGGTAGCCAATTGCTGTAGTTCTTTGTTCTTTCTGTGGACACATGGTCGCATTCAGTTCATCCTTCTGTCTGGGGTAATGAAGATTGCTGATTTTCCTAATGCAAGGACATTGGTCTGTTCTTTTCCTGGCTTTTGGGAATGCCAACAATTAGACATTAAAATGGGATCTTCATTGCCCAGGTCCTGGATTTAAAAAAAAAAAAAAAAAATTGTCCTCAATACTGCTTAACTAGGTAGAAGATTTGGCTTAACATGCTATCCTGCCTGCAATCTGTGTTCAGCTGTCTTGATTATTATTTTCCTGGCAGTTCTCTGACTCCATACCCTTGAATCTAGATTTTTTTTTTTAACTGGAAGTGCTTGTTTTGGTTTTGGGCCATTTTCCATGGCAGAGTCAGATTTTTCTCAACTATATGTATGTTATTATTTGTCACCAGTGAGAATGGTAGGGCCCAAATCTGTATAGTTAGTTGATAGTCACACAGTCAAGAACACTTACCCATCTCGCTTGAAATTTGGTGAGGCTGCCTGTGCAAATAAATGGTGTAGTTTTGGATAAAATGGGAGTGAACATTGGGTTGAGAAAGACCTTTACTATAGCTTTTTTGCCTTTTGGAGGAACCCCTCGCCTTTGGGAGCATCCTTCCTATTCTAACCTGTCTAGTCCTGTTAGAATTTTATAGGTTTCTGAGATTCTCCATCATTCTTCCAAACTCCCAACAAATATAGAGTCATACAGCTTGGAACTATACCCTTTGGTCCAACCAGTCCATGCCAAACATAGTCCCAAACTAAACTAGTCCACCTGCCTGCTCCTGGCCCATGTCCCTCCAAATCTTTCCTATACATGTACTTATGTAAGTGTCTTTTAAAAGTTGTAACTGTGCCCACATCCACCACTTCCTCAGGAAGTTCATTCCACACACGAACCACCTTCTGCATGAAAGGAATTTGTCTGGTAAACCTTTGCTACAGTTCCTCTACAGCAGAATATCCTTCCTCAGATAAAGTGACCAAATTGCAAATAATATTCCAGATATGATCTCACCAAGGTCTACAATTACAGTAAGGCATCCCTGTACCTGTATTTGAATCTTTCCACTATAAAGGCCAACATACCAAAAGCATTTCCCTATTAGTACTGATTTCCTTCAGTTCCACTGTCTCACTAAACCCTGTGTTCCCCAACATTTCCGGAATGGTATTTGTGACCTCATTTACGAAAGTATGTACTCAGTTGGTTGGCCATTTCTTTGTTCCACCCCTCTTTATAAGTTCCCCTGTTTCTGACTGGTAAGGGGCTTACGTTTGTTTCCACCAATCATTTTCTCTTCACATACCTATAGAAGTTTTTACAGTCAGTTTTTACATTCCCCACTAGCTTACTCTCATATTCTATTTTCCCTTTCTTAATCAATTTCTTTGTCCTACTTTGCTGAATTCTAAACATCTCCCACTCCTTGGGTCTGTTGTTCTTTTTTTTTCTGGCCAATTGTAAGTCCCTTTCTTGAATCTGATGCTTTCTCTAATTTCTTTTGTAAGTTATGATTTGACAGCTTTTCCCATTTTACTTTTGTGCCAGACAGAATAAACAATTGTTGCAGTTCACCCATGTGCTCTCTGAATGACTGCCATTGCCTTTCCACAGTCACCTGTTTAGGTAATATCCCTTAATCTGTCATAGCAAAATTGTGCCTCATACTGTCGTAGTTTCCTGTATTTAAATTCAGTATCCTAGCCTCTGAATCCACTACGTGACTGAGCATTTAGATGAGAAATTCTCTCATTTAAGGTTCTTGTGAAGAATTGTAGCTTGGGTTGTGGGTGAGGTTGTTGGCTTGCTCGCTGAGCTGGCTGGTTATCGTATAGACGTTTTGTCACCATGCTAGATGACATCATCAGTGCGGCCTCTGATGAAGCGATGTTCTTCTACTCTGCTTGGCATTTATATGATTCAGTCTGTTAAGTTTGGGTTGTGTCACTTCCGGTTCTGTTCTTCATGAGTTTGTATATGGGTTCTAATTCCACATATTTGTTGATTGAATTATGGGTTGGAAACCAGGCCTCTCGGAATTCCCGTGCACATCTGTGGTTGGCTTGAGCTAAGCTGGTCACGTTGTCCCAGTTAAATTGGTGGCTTTCATTGTCCCAGTGCATTGAAATGAGGGAAAGGTTATCATGTTGTTTTGCTATGTATTCTGATGCCTAGTTTCCTTCCGGTCTGACTGATGTAATGTTTGTTGCAGTCAATGCAAGGTATTTTGTAAACTATGATGGTCCTGCATGTCATGGGTATGGAATCTTTTCGTTCTTGTGAGTGTTTGTTGTAGTATGGCCCTGGGTTTGTGTGCTATTATGATTCCTAGTGGTCGCAGGAGTCTCATTGTCAGTTCTGATATGTTCTTGATATAGGGTAACGTGGCCAGTGTATTGGGGCGTACTGTGTCCTCTTGGCGTTGTCTATCCAGTAGGCACCTGCGGATGAAGTTGTTGGGATATCCATTGTTGGCAAAGACCTTGTATAGGTGCTCTTCCCCCTTCCTGCGTAGTTCTGGCATGTTGCAGTGAGTTGTGGCTCGTTTGAATAGTGTCCTAACACAGCTTTGTTTGTGGAGGTTGGGGTGATTGCTTTGGAAATTGAGGATTTGGTCAGTGTGGTTTGCCTTCCTATATATTGTGGTTTGGAACTCCCCGTTGGTCATTCCGGATATGACGATATGAGAATATGAGAAACCGTGCACAGTTCCAGTGTCCAGGGCCAGCAGCTATGCAGGAAGTGTCTCCAGCTGCAGCTCTTGGAAGCCTGGTTTTGGAGCTAGAGAGGCAGCTGGGGTCACTGTGGAGCGTCTGCAAGGCAGAGAGTATCATGGACAGCAAGTATAGGGAGGTGGTCACAATACAAGCTACGACTCCACAGACAACAGGAATTTCCTGTTGCTTTGAATACGACTGAAAGGAAAGACCTCTCAAAGGAAAACAGCAAGAACCAAATTCATTCTACCACAGTTGGCTCTGCTGCATAAAGGAGTAAAAACCGTGCAAGTGTAATAATTATAGGAGACTCAATTGCAAGAGGAATAGACAGGCATTACCGTGGCCACAAACAAGACTCCAGGATGGTATGTTGCCTCTCTCGTCTTAAGGTCAAGGACATCTGAGTGGCTACCATGTATTCTGGAGATGGATGGTGAACAGCTCGCAGTCATGATACATATTGGTATAAACAAATAGGACCTCACTCTTTTGTTTTAACATGAAAGCAGGATATAGGGAATTAAGAAATAAGTTGAAAAATAAGACCTCAAAGATAATGATCTCAGGATTATTACCAACATTATGTGCTAGTCAGTGTAGAAATAGTATGATATGTCAAATGAAAATGTGGATCAATATATGGTGCAAGGGAGAGGGCTTCAGATTTCTGGAGCATTGGAACTGGTTCTGGGAAAGGTAGGATCAGTAAAAACTGGACGTGTCACCCCGGGCAGAACAGAGACTAATGTCCAAGTGGAAGCAATTGCTAGAGTGATTGGAAGGCTTTAAACTAAAATAACAGGGGATTGGGACCTATGCAAGGAGTCAGAGGGAGGAGATCGAGGAAAAGAATAAAATGCCAGAATCGGAATTTTGTGGTTGGCAGAGAAATCAAGAACCAGAGCTCTGATGAAGAGTCATCTAGACTCGAAACCTTAGCCTGCTTTCTCTCCATAGATGCTGCCTGATCCACTGTGACCTCCAGCAACTTTTATTTTCGGTTAATCAACTGTACATCCCCTTAAACAGATGGTAGGAATGAGAAATAGAAAGCAA